CATTTGTGAGTATGAACCTCTGTGACATGTGTGGGAGCTTTTTAGATGTCTGTTTTGATTGAGAATCCCCATTTTAATCATGTATAACCACCTGCCTTTTTAACACTGCTATTTAACTTTTAGACACTCCACGGTCAGAGATCAGCGGTACTTAGCTACATGCTAACCCAAAGCTAACAGAGTTTTCCCGGGCGTTTTTAGCAAGAAAAACTCGCACCTCTGGCCTGCTTAATCATGAAATCATAACTAGGTAAGCTGACCGAGGATATCGGGCTAACACTCACAGTTCAGTGCAATCTAGATCTATTAAGCCTAAAACCAGGCTATAAACACATTTATTTCTGCTGTGAAACTGGCATTTTTAACATGGAATTTGCTCACTTCTGGTGCACACACACACACACACACACACACACACACACACACACACACACACACACACACACACACACACACACACACACACACACACACACACACACACACACACACACACACACACACACACACACACACACACACACACACACACACAGTAGCGGTTTTAGGCACGGGCAGACAGGGCAGTTGCCCGGGGCGGCATTTTTTTATGACACAGAAGGGGCGCACAAGCGCTGAGTAAAAAAATAAAAAAGAAAGAAATCTGCGCCGCACCCAGGTTTTCTATTCTATCTGTCATATCACAGAGTCTGGATTGGAAACAGCAAGTTGGGAGTGCGGGTATGGACCCCATTTCCGTATTCCTGTGGCAACCTGCCCCCCAATTTTATTTGCACCTTATACACTTCCACTGACGACATTCCACACAAACACACACTTAGGGCCTTAGGAGTGAGCACATTCAACGGCATTTGGCAGGGGGATATCTCAGCCTCCTCCCGGGTGCCAGTGAACACTTCCAATTTTAAACCGCACTTAGACACTGATGGCTGAAGGTGTGAGTGGGGTGGTGCGGTGGCATCAGCTGGCATAGGCCGGATGATGCCCGCACTGCCCACTCACCACAGCCATGGAATACACCTCATGATCACACAACACTACATTGGAGCAGGTGGAGGGAGACTAGGGGTCTTTGCCACCTCTGTTGTTGCTAGGCTTCCTGGGGCTGGAGCCTAGGAGGGAGATCTGGCCGTCTGGTTGGGGTCTGGGGTGGTGTGTTGCTGTGCTCAGCGTTGGGCGGGGGAGCCTGCTCATCAGCACCCCAGCAGAAAGGGTCAAACTCTGGTTACTGGTGATGGTTGTACCCAATGTGCAGCAGTACCGGGACCAGAGTGAATAGGGTGTGTATGGGGAGCATGAGTGGGTGTCCGGCATGCATTTTTCTAAGTCTTGGGTTGTATGTGCATGTGTGAGCATGAGGGAGGGAGTGTGTGACTGTGTTTGTGTATGACTGTATATGTCAGGTGGGGCCTTTGACTCCTCCCCTCTCCTGGAACTTCTCTTGATGATATAGATCTTTGTCCCCTCTCCCCCTGCCACACCTGGTGTGAGGGGTTGTGCCTTGGTCTGCCTGAGTGTTCGTGGCAACCGGGTCTGGGGGTTTAAGATTTTGGCATCTGCCTGATAGATCCCGGTGGCTGCCTGGTGGGGTCTGGGTCCCTGGGCTCTTCTGGGTCCCCGGCGGGGGTGGTCGCCCCTGGGTCCCGGGTCGCTGGGTCCCGGGCTCGGCCGGCTAGGGGGTGAGAGGCTGCGGGCGGGCCTGTGGGCTTGCAGCTGATATCTCCCGGGACTCTGCTGGCTGCTGGTTGTGGCCCCCCGGGGCGATCCTCTGTGCCTCTCGAGGGGGGCGGGGGGCTTTCTGGTTGCTGTCTCCTTGGGGTTCCTGTGTTCTGGGGCAGCGCCTGGATCTCTGGGACTTGGATCTCCCCCGTCTCCTGCGCATCTTTGGGAGCCGGATCTGTGGTCCCGCACACTCTCTGTTGGACGCTCCTATAGACAAACCTTACATAAACAAGCGCGTATACACACACAGGTGCTCACATGGTGCTCTCAAAAGTATGGGCTTGGGCACGTTAAACACAGGTCTTAAGACTATGGTGGGCACTTAATGCACTGTGATTTATTATCGTGATTCTTCAGTTAAGCAATGTTGATTATATATTTCTTCATCAAGTTGACGCAGTGATAGCAAGATCTTGTTGTATTGTTGTTGTGTCCCTTTTTTTTGTCCTTTTGCTTTTTTTTGTCTTTTTCTGCAGGTCTAGAAGCAGACTCTTGTTCATTGTTTCTTTTTGTGGACCCCCCCCCCCCCACACACACACACACACACCACCTTTTCTTTTCCTTTCTCTTTCACCTCTGTCTCCGTGTCTGGCCAAGCATTCAACAACAGTAACAACAACAGTAACAATAAAGTTTTAAGTATCAGGCGCGACATTAAATGCAAACGCTTTGATGCACCACCTGAGAGTAAATCTGTAAGGCTTGTCACCAGCATTCAGACATCAATTCTGCTTGCTTCACAGCCAGACAGGACATGGTAAAAAAAAAAAGAAAAGAAAAAAAAGAAGGGAAACAGCAAGTTGGCGCCCCCTGCAGCTGTAGGCGCTCCTGCTGACTGAGAACGTTCACGTGCACCGTGTGTGTATGAAGAAGAGGCCGGGGAGGGGCGCGGCGGGGGAATTCACCTCTGGCTCTTTCCCAAATGAAATGAGCGGGTAGGGGCTAATCAACTGTATTAACATGGCTAAAGTCAATCACATCTTGATGTTCTTCCATGTTTCATTCATAATATCATAAACACAGGCCTATCATTCTTTCAGGTTTTTCTGAATTGTGTGAAATGGCCGAATAAAAAAAGGAAAAACAAAACAATTTTGTGGCCCCCCCCCCCCCCCCCCATCAAGGTCGAATTGTTTATCCTGACTAAAGGAAAATTATTGAGTCAAGAGCCAAACAGAAGAGATGAACATAAAAAGGCTAAAACCACCAGGTGCCCGATTCAGGAAAACAAAAAGAAAAAAAGGAGGAGAAAGATAAAGGTATGTACGCTCTCATGATGCATGTTTTCAATTTTTTGAACCAGTTAACTGGGATTTTAACGGTTAAATTCGGTCAACTAATTGCTAAAAGAGCTAATAGGGCTGAAATATTGAAACGAATATTCAAATGGTTTGTAAAAATCCTTCGTTTTTTTATTGATTCAAACTAGGATTTGTTAAATGCTCGCTGCAGCCTGTGGCCTGCCTGAACAACAACAAACACACGTTTATCACATAATAATAAATAAAACAACTCTACAAGCATAAGAAAACTCCCCAGTCACCACTAACTATCTTGTTTATTTATTGCAGATGGCTGCACTGATTATTTTTTACATGATTTGTTCTGTAAAAGTTGGCATTTTTGGTAGTCTACAGTTTTTTTTATGTCAGTTTAAATTACAATTTCAGAGGCAATTCTAAAATATTATGGCTCATGAGATCTATTGGAGATCCACCCCAACTTTTGGACTGCTCTGCCAGTCACTGTGGCTCAAGCTGAGAGGAGCTTTTCAAAACTTGATCAAGTCATACCTGAGGTCACCTATGTTTCAGGGGCGGCTCACTAACCTGGCTCTGATTGGTATCAATCACTCAGTAGGCGAGCAGATTTCATAGGATGACATTATTGATGACTTTGCATCAAGGTCAGGTTTTAATTTTAGTTTGTGTTTTCTGTTCTAAGTGCAATGCTGTAGTGATTATCTTTAGTTTGTTATGTGTGAAATATTTTTGCTATTTAGAATATTTATTATATATTATGTTCATATATTCTTAATATTTAGTTATTGTTTGTTTTTGTATATTTGATTCTATTTAATTTGATACAGTATATAATATATATTGCTTTACATTCTGACAGCTTCATAGCAAGTCACCCCCTACCAGATTCTTACTTAACTCCCACTTCCTGTTTGAAAAATGCAACAAATAATGTTGCCTAGCAGACCGAGAGGGTGGAGCCACTAACAAATACACACACTCACGACATTGTAACATCATAATGTACCATCTAACATCATAGTGTACCTCTTAGCCAATAGTGACGGCAGATTTAAATTCAAATGCAGTGCTGAGTTTTTACCTGACGACGGTGGAACACTGGCAGTTTTAGGCAGAACTTTAAATTTTAACTAAGATGCAATAAAGTGCCGAATTATTGACTACACGTGTCTGCAGCACGATCAGACGCTCATTTATATAGTTTATCAGGAAAAAAATGTTGATTTGGAGTGACTTGCTCTTTAATGTAAATATGTGCAACTTAGAAAAATGAGTGTTCAATAGTTGTTCTAATAAAACATGCCTGTTTGTAAAAAACATGCGTGTGTGCGTGCAGGTGGGGTGGGGGGGAGTAATTCCATGTAGAACCGCCACTGCACACACACACACACACACACACACACACACACACACACACACACACACACACACACACACACACACACACACACACACACACACACACACACACACACACACAATGGTTATGATGGGGCAGTGTGACACAAGAAGCTGCTCAAATCTCTGCTGGGAACTTTCCAGTAAACATATTTTTACATCTATGTTTTTTTCCAGTTCCCTCCCTGCAATCCCAAAACATCTATTTTAGGTAAATTAGGAGTCAAATTTAATCTATGACCATGTCTCTGTGTCAGCTCTGTGTTATCCTGGAAGTGTATGCCACCACATATAAAACAGCTTTTATTTTCAGTTAAAATTAGGTCACATTTAAAAAGTAATAATAAAAAATTATACAATAAGTAAAAAATAATAATAAAATGTATTTTGTAAAATTGATTTAACTTTCTGTAAAGTTTAGATACACCTTCAAAAACAGGTAAGTTCAGTCCATTTCAAATGAAGACTTTTTAAATTTTATTTAGTTTCAGTTGTTGGCTTTTCATGACATAATGAGTACTTTTTTATACATACATGTATTTTTTTATTGAATTAAAGACAGATACAGAAACAAATACTATTTTAAGTACATTAAACAGCTTTTAAATGTCACTGAGATCATCTAATATAAAGTATATGTGTTTCACTAGGCTCTGTGTGCTCATGGTAAAACACCAGCAGTCATGAATAAATACAGAGGTTAACAAAGAAATTATAATTTACTTGAACACATGAATGTAATGCCTCCTAATCCCCTGGAAAACGTTACATTTTACTTTCCACATCTAAGCATGTTCACGGCTTATTTACGTTATGAAACAAGATCCACTATAAATGTAAGAAAGTGCTTTTATGTTTGTAACAAAGCTACTTTTTCAACCATATAAAACAGCAGGGTTGTTTATATGTTTCAGAGACAATTCAGTTCATCATCATAGTTAGTAACTTAAATCAATGAGATGGTGATAAACACAGAAAAGACTTTGATGAACGACTGCTGCCAGCCACATGGTTGATCCTTCATGAGCTTTTGTTGGAGAAATGATTGAACTGGTCTTCTCCACAAGCCAACATTGTTGCATGAAACTTCCTGGGTCGATCAGGATCCTAGCAGCAGAACCAATCAGAAGCATGATTATATAAAGAAGGTCAGACGTTCTAAAATACCCTGAAGAGATTAGTCTCACCTGAATGGGGTTTGCACAGGTGGGAACATAACGGATCACAAAGCCACAGCGCCTCCTCCGGGACGTGTTGGGATCACTTGCATGGACAAGAAATCCATCATGAATCTGTGGGAAAAAAGTCATTACGAATCAAGCTGTAATTGTCTTTAGAACTATTTTAGATTACAGCAACAACAACTCACAGACATCTGTCCAGCTTTCAGAGGACAGAACACAGTCTCCTCCACCTGAACCAGCTCCTCTGGGATCTCCTGGTTGACCGACAGCATGTTTCCAGAGCGGGTAGCTTGGCGATGGGGTAGCATGCCAGAGCGGTGGCTTCCTACAGTGAAAAAGCTGATCATGAGACAAAGCGCTAACTAGGACTGTGGGTTAAGCTATAGCTTCAGACGAAGTACCTGGAATAACCTGAAGGGCTCCGTTTTCCTTCTGTGAGTCATCAAGAGCGAGCCACACAGAGAGGACCGGACCACCAGCAATTCCCCAATACCTATAAAACCAAAGGCTTACACTGAGAATCAGTGAAGACACATTTTACATTTATTTTTTCACTGGAGTCACCGGGACCTCATATCCTGATGCCAGGCGACGTAAGGAAGACCGTTCTCCCCATCAGACTTGGTCGGATTTCCTTCATTCTCCAGGATGTTGGCTGGTTTGAGAATCGGGTATTTACAGATGAAACGAGAGTCCAGCAGGAGGACGTCTGGGCCCAGGACAGCTTGGATCACTTGCAGGATACGGGGATGTTTGGTCAGGCTCATCTCCCAGGGATACTGGAGGTGAATGTTGTGGAGGCTGTACTGAGTGTACTCTTTACCTGCATAGACAGTTTTGTTAGAAAATCAGTTTGGGACAAATGGATCAGACAGAACAAAATGTACTAAATAAATCCTGAATATTTGCAGCATGTGGAATTCTTTGCAGCATGTCTGATTTGTACATCCTCCTCACCAAATTCATCCTCCAGCTTAGCAAAGGCGTCTCTGGCTTCCCTCAGCTCCATCTCATTCAGCACGGACAGAGGAGACAGGAAACCCTGCTGGTTGTAGCTCTGCTGGAGTTCAGCCATCTTTGTTAGAGTGTCTCACTGCTGAAGCCTCTGAACGGTTTGGATAACTAATCAGACAAAGAAAAGATTAGTTTTGGAAACATTCCTTCAGTCTTTATCTCATAAATGTAACAATAAATCCTGCCATGCCCATTTTTCCCAACTGGTTTTTGAGAAAAGACCAATAAAACACCCACTACCTCCCTGAATTTAATTATAACGGAAAAGTCACTAAATTGTTTTAAATCTTTCTTGTCATTTAATTATAATAAAAACTGTTGTTCCTTTTAAAAAGAAAACATGATAAAACTATAGAAATGAGTATTTTCAGGTGCAAATCTAAACTTTTCTTCTAGGCTACAGTGGCAGCAGAAAACAGCTGGTTCTGTCCGTACCTGTCTGCTCAGTCTTTTCTCGTGTTCTGAGTCTGGACTCAAACACACGAGGCTCAGATTTTATACTCGCCGGCATCCTCTGGAAACGCCCGCTCTTATGCCAGCTGGAGTCATGTCACATATTTCCAGTAAGACAGAATCGAAGAGGAGAATCCGTGCAGTGATGTATCTATTGTTACAACATTCTGGTGTGTGGAGCCTATTCAAACATTTTTGTTCTCTCAGGTAACGAGAAATCTTTTGTTTTAATCAGCTGTGTTCTTTCCGAGTGTTGACTTCCCGCCCTTTTTCTGTACAAGGAAGCAAGGGGCTTGTACGTTTGCTTTGGTCAGAAGAACTCAGGATGACATCATCAGAAACTTGTCTGAATGATGACAGCACACAGGGCAGAACAATAATCAGATGAGATTATTATCAGATGTTGCTCAGGAGAAAATAAAGTGTTTTTTATGGAGAAGTGAAAATAAAACAAAACAAATGTGAGAAAGACTAAAGTAACTGGGAAATGACTTTCTTCCTTTCCTGTCCAGAGCTTGGGTGAACGTTCAAACCCTGCAGCTACGTCTTCACATGAGTGCCTTTAAACAGATGACTCAGACTTTACCAAGAGACCAAATATTAATGTTATGCTTTTCTTTTCAGAAGTGTTGTTAGACTTGAGTTCAACTCAAGCCTGAAGGATTAACCAGTAATTTACAGGCAACAACAATCAGTAGAACACCAGTCAGATGGAACAGAACTTACAAACATAAATCTGACACAATTAGTTAGTTTGTTCAGGTAAAGATGTAAAATAACTTTTAAAGAAGGCCGAAAAAGAGTTAAATGTCCTCAAATCTTGGTTTGATGTAAATAAATTATCACTGAACATAAAAAAATAAAATTTCTAGGCGTTGTGATTGACTCTAATTTATCCTGGCAACATCATTTAAATTATATAAAAGGAAAAATTGCAAAATCTTTGGGTCTATTATATAAAGTGAAAGACAGGCTAAACTATAAGGCCTTACGTTTAATATACTGCTCACTAATACAACCTTACATGTCATATTGTATAGAAATATGGGGTTCAACTTTTAAAACACATATAAATGAAATAAAAACTATACAAAAGAAAACTATTTGAGTTATAAACAAGAGCAATTATCATGCTCATACTGATCCGTTGTTTTTAAAATCACAGATTATGAAAATAGAAGATCTAAATTATTATAAAATAATGCAATTTATGTTTAGAGCAAAATTAATGTTTCTGCCAGAAAATATACTAATGTTTTTTGAAAAGAGTGAAACTAAATATGATTTAAGAGGTGTTTATTTTATTTTTTTTTTTTTTGCATAGCAAAGCTACCCTCTCTGTTGAGGGTAACTCTGAAGTGCCTTTTTTCCCTCTCCCCTTGACTCTATCCTCATATAAACCCTCATGATCTATAACGGTAGCGTGACTCGGGTTGTGAATGACCACAGTCACAAATTCTTGTCACATGTGTGCTTGTTGTCACACTGTGGTGTGGGTGGCGGCGGACCATGTGTGGTGGAGCTGACCAGGAGGCAGGAATGCGGGCTCAGATAACGTAAAAAATGGATTTAATGGCAGAGGATGCAGCAGGAACAACAAGACACAACAATGATCCGACGAGGGACACTTGAAGACGGGAGGTATAAATACACGGGGAACAATCAGGAACAAATGGGCAGGTTAACAAGGGGAAGAGTAGGAGTCAGAGGGAGGTAGGAGCAGATCGTGACATATGTATGTTTGTCTGATTTGAGAATTGTCTGTACTGAAACTCTAATTTCCCTCTGGGATTAATAAAGTATTTTTGAATTTGAATTGAATTAGAATTTGTATGTATGTTTGTTGTACAAACAGCTAAAAAGGGTATAAAAAGGAGATGTATCTCTGGAATGGGAGTAAAATTTTGGAATGAGGCTAAAATAGAATTTAAATTAGCAACTTCACTTTCAGTTTTTAAAATATTTATCAGTAAAAATATTTTTGAAGAGTATTAATTTGATGTTGGTGGATGGGATTGTGTTTTTTTCTTTTTGGTTATTGGCGCATTGAGGGAAACAGAAAAATTGATTTGTAAGTAGGTTAGGCAATTCTATAAGCTTTTGCTTCTGCCTAAACCTGTTCAGTTATGAGATACTAAAATAGATACTATATACACATATATGAATATATACGTTGTGGAGGAATGGAAATATATGTATCTATTTGTATGATATGTTACTGTTTACATGAATTATTTTTATGATGACTGAATAAAATTGATCATTCATTCATTCATTGGAACAATTACTCACAGAAACATCTACTAAACCTTGAAGACATCAATAAACGTACTTTAACTGAAGCAAGAAGGTAAAGGTCACAGTTCACTAAAATGTTCGTTTTACCGCGGGCGTCGAAAAGTGATGTTCTGGCACATCACGTCTGAAACAAACGCTTGGTCACCCGTAATCAGTTTTAGACGCTTTTGGGTGTGAGAACGTGTTGCAGATAACCTCAAGGCAGCTGTTAAAAGACATCTACACAAAAGAGATGAAGCTGTTTTGTTGAGATTTATGAGGAAAAAATTCCCAACAGGAAGTAACTAACTAACTAACTAACTAACTAACTAACTGATTAAAAACATCTGTAGAACATTTGTAGCGACAGTGGCAGAGGTGTTGAGTGTCCGCCCCATAACCAGAGGGTTGCAGGTTCAACCCCCATCTGTTGCAGCCATTGTGTCTGCTTTCACCTTCAGGCAGCCACAGGAGGGCACTAGGGAGATGCTAATCACAGCTCCCTCTAGGAGCTGCTGTGGCAGGTGTGTTTTCCACACACCTGCACTCCATTTTACCAACTACAACCAGGAGGATAAAAGGAGAGGAGGCCATACCCACCTTCCTAATCTTCATTACTGGCCTCCTCATCTCCTGAGATCCTCCTGAGCTCCTGTTATCCTCCATCATTACCATCATCATCCTCAGCTACTGTGTGTCTCCTGTCCACCCTCCAGCATTATACCATAAGCTGCATCTCATTCTTCTACCCAGACTCCATTCAGAAGTTCCCTATGGTTCACCACCTGCTCTACAGTTACCCATCTCTGGCCCTCACCTACTCTAGCACCACTCCAGCTCCACCTCTTTTATGCTGATGAGCTGTTTATAATAAAGTTAAATACTAAGAATGTATTTAAGAAAATGACTAAATCTATTTGGGACTGAAAATGCAGAAATCACTTGTTTTGCTATTTACAACATTTAGTTTAGTTTTAACAACAAACAAGCAAATCTTTGACCCTTTGAACCAGGAAGAATCCTGATATTCCTGGACTAAAACTCCAGCGGGTCATGTCTGACCACCAGGACTCAACGTTATTGTTTCACTGGAACGTGTCAGTGGTTTTGGTTCAGAAAACCCCGCTGAGCAGGAAACACTTACACAAATCCTTTCAAGGCAAAGAAAACATAAAAGGTGATTAAACTCATCACTCGTGTAACCGTATGATGTCACTAAAATGATCAATTGTTGTCAGGTGTTAGTTGTTGTTGTTTAAATAATTTAAAACTGAGTTAGATACAAAAATTGAGTAAAAGATAATTAATAAAATGTCTGTAGCCAAATTGTCACGTTCAAGTTTCCTCAAATGTTGCTGAGATACTTCAAAAGAAAATAATACTTTTTCTCTCTCTACCTCTGCTGCTCAGTCCTGCAGTATCAGATTGTCTCTTGACGTCTCACATTTCACCTTCTGAGTGCCTTAAGTTTGTCTTTTGTTCATTTCTTTTATTCCTAACGGAGACTCTCTTCTCTTTTGAATTCCAGTCGGGGTTCCTTCAACCTTTCTGTCCACAGTTAGAGGGAAAAAACTGCACATGAAGAAATCCTTTTCTGTTTTTCTGAGCTTGAACTGGTAGTTAAACACATTGAACATGGCTGTCTAATGACCTATGATTCCTTATATTTTATTTTTAATTTATACATTTATTATTGAAATGTTTGAATCAGGACTGACACAGGTAGCATAGAAACAGTTCTCTCTGTACTAAAACAATAAAACATAAAACTATGTCTCTAAAACAGACCAGCTGCATGGATTTCCTTTTTCTTTTTGAGAAAAGAACCCAGATCCACCACTTGGTGGTGCACTTCACTGATTTAATCTCTTCACTTGGCAGCACTGAAACATCATCCTGAACCAGGGTGCAGCACACGATAAATATATAAACACACCAAAGTCAACCCTTCAAAGTGTGTCAGCACACAGAGGGTCTGTCTGGTTCAGTGAACTCAGCTCAGCTGAAAACCAGGACTTTATACCTGCTTAGAGTCTGCTCCAGCTTTAATATAGGGTGACCACATTTCCACTTCCAAAAAAGAGGACAGGAGATCTGTGCCTACTGATGACATCACACTATGGCAACACCACACAAACCACGTTGGGACCCTTTTTCCCAGGTGAAGAGCTAAAATTAATATCAGATTCTGCCAACAAAATGTCTCTAAAACAATTCATGTGTAAATATTTTGCATATTTACTGCAAAATCTCATTTTTCTGCTGCTTAAGTGCTGCAACAACATTTTATTAATAAGAAATTATTATACCTTTTGTTTTACTACAGCATCTGTACGCTTCATGTGCACAGATTATTAAGGATGCTTGTTTCAACTGTGAGACTAGACGATAGGATCAATGATAAAACAGTTTGTCATGGACTCCATGGAAACTTTCAGAGAATCCACAAATAGAGGCTTTCAGATGCTTTTATTACTGACAGATGTTTGTGAGTTTAGAAAAGAAACGGATGACAGCGTGTCCGACAATTTTGTTTTTCGTCTGACAATATTAGAAGCTGTCAGTGATGTCTGAGATGCTTTTACAAACACTGTATAACTTCTGGGGAGCCCAGTTATAGGGGTGAGGGATGCTCTTTCTTCTCTGCTCCATGGACCACAGGCCGCGGTGGAGGAACAGCTGTTATCTTTAAGAAACATTTTTCATGCCAAATTATATCCTCAAACTCCTACTGCTCATTCGAGATGATCATGATTAAAATTGGTCGAGTTCAACCAGTTTATGGAATTCTGGTCTATCGCCCACCTGGATCTACTTCAACCTTCCTGTCTGACTTTCAGGATCTCCGATCTTCAACTATTAAACTAGACCGGATAATCATTGTTGGAGATTTCAACATCCATGCTGAGGATCTATCTAACTGCTCCACTAGGGAGTTCCTAAACATGATGAACTCTTTTAAGTTCTCTCAACACGTGTCTGGTCCCGCTCACAGAGCAGGCCACACCCTGGATCTGGTCTTTTCCTACGGTCTTCTTGTTGATAAACTGCAGATAAATGATGTTGTGTTCAGTGACCATAAGTCAGTTTCTTTTCATATTAACCTAAATTCTGAATCTCTTTCACCAGTCTCTGCTAAGCAACGACGTATTATCAACAGTTCTACCATTTTAAATTTCTCCTCCCTCTTTGACTTTGTACTTCCTTCCTCTGATGACGTAGAGCTCCTTACCAACTCATTTAATGATCACTGCCTCAAAATTCTGGATCAGGTCGCCCCTTACAAAACCAGCCGCAGTTCCAGTGCTCTAGTTCACCCTGGCTGAACATCCAGATTCTTGAACTTAGACGCTCCTATAGAAAAGCGGAACAATGGTGGAAGAGGACAGGTCTGGTTGTTCATCGCGAATATTTTAAAGAACTTCTCGAGTCATACAACGAAGCTGTAGAAAATGCCAGGTCTTCTTTCTTCAGCAACCTCATATGTCAAAATAAGAATAATCCTAAGGTTTTTTTGATATCATCTCCAGCATCGTGTCTTCTCCTCCGCAGCAGGCTCAGCTATCTTCAGCTGATGACTGTAACAGATTTCTCCACTTTTCTGCAAACAAGGTGCTGAATCTGAGATCCAGCATTCCACCAGCCCTCGCCCCCTCAGGAGGGGAGGTCCCCCAGTGCTCCGAGTCTTTCACCTCCTTCTCCCCAATTACACTAGATGACTTAACCTCAATAATCAGTCAGATGAAGCTCTCATCATGCTCTTCAGATATCTTAACCCCCTCTGTTTTAGTCGGGTCAATTGCCTCTATCAGTCCATCTCTGCTGACTATAATCAACAGCTAACTGAGCCAAGGCTTTGTTCCATCTTACTTTAAAAATGCAGTAGTGACTCCTCTCTTAAAGAAACCCAACCTTGACGCCAGCTCTACCAGTAACTTTAGGCCCATTTCTAAGCTGCCTTTCATCAGCAAAGTACTTGAGAAGGTTGTTGAAACCCAACTCAGATCCTGGTTTTCTAAGTCAAAGATCTCTGACCCCTTCCAGTCTGGCTTTCTGAAGCAGCACTCAACTGATACTGCTCTAGTAAGGGTGCATAATGACCTCCTGATGGCTGCTGATGCAGGGAAATGCTCTGTCATGGTCCTGCTTGACCTCAGTGCAGCTTTTGACACTGTAGACCACAACGTTCTACTAAACAGGTTAAATGCCCTGGCTGGGATTTCAGGTTCTGCTCTAGACTGACTCTCTTCCTATCTCACTAACAGAACATTCACAGTGAATTCAGAAACCTTCTCCTCAGACACTGCCTCTCTAACATGCGGGGTCCCACAAGGTTCAGTTCTAGGGCCTCTACTATTCGCATTCTATATTCTTCCTCTAGCTGGCATCATTCAGTCTTTCACAGACATCTCCTACCACATCTACGCTGATGATATTCAGCTCTATATATCCTTTATGCCACACCAGTTGGACAGGCTGGCCACACTTGTACTCTGCCTGACCCAGATCAGTAACTGGCTGTCCAGCAACTTTCTTGTCCTCAATGCTAACAAGACAGAGACCCTGATCGCTGCACCCCAGGAACTTCAGCCAAAAATCGAGCAAGAAATTGCCTCTTTTTGCCCTTCAGCCAAGGCCAACATTAGAAACCTAGGAGTTATTTTTGATCCAGCTTTAAGTTTAGACTCACAGATCAAAACCATCCCCCACTCTTGTTTCTTTAAAGTGAGAAACATTTCAAAAGTCCGTAAACTGGTTTCTACTGCAGATCTGGAAAAAATCATCCATGCCTTTGTGTCATCACACTTAGACTACTGTAACGCTCTTTTTACTGGTCTCAGCAAAACCTCCCTCTCACGCCTTCAAGCCATCCAAAATGCAGCAGCCAGACTCCTAACCAAATCCAGCAGACAAGCTCACATCACTCCAGTTTTACAGTCCCTCCACTGACTCCCGGTAGAATATAGAATACAGTTTAAAGTTTTAGTCCTGACCTATAGAGCTCTTAACAACCAGGCTCCAAGCTACCTATCTGAGCTTTTATCCCCACACACCACCTCTCGGAACCTCAGATCCACATCTGAAAATCTCCTGGCTGTTCCTCGAACCAGACTGAAAACCAAAGGGGACAGGGCTTTTCAGACTATTGCCCCCAGACTTTGGAGCAGTCAACCTTCAAATCTCCGTCTCTCTAACACTGTAGAGGTCTTTAAAAATCATCTAAAAACTCACCTTTTCATCCAGGCGTTCCCTCCCTAAATGATTCAAAAAATGGCTTTGTTTGGGTTCACACCTTCACTTTGTTTATACTCATGATTTTATTTTCTACTTTGTCACTGCTATTGTTTTCTCTGATGTTTTTATTGGTTAGAGGTATTTGCCCTGATCTTTATCATGTTGTACAGCGCTTTGTGATTTATATCTGTGAAAGGCGCTATATAAATAGACTTTTACTTACTTACTTACTTCTGTTTTGCCTTGGCCCCCCAAAATGCCTTGAAATGGCCCTGGGTTTGTCTGAGTTTTGAAGGTGACCTGAATTTTATCAGATGTATAAATATTACTTGTGTATAACTTATTGTTTTATACAGGTAAAAACGTGTAGTGGAGATAAATCTACCTACATTTTACTTTTCAGCACTTTGCTTTGTTTTCTTGTTTTTATT